ATAATAAAACTATTTAGACTCTTAAAATTCAGATAGATGCTATCTACGTATGGTACAAAATTAACATAAGGTATTTAATTAGCTTAAACCAGAAAAATCTACCTTTTATGTCTACAAAAATTCTACTTTATAGCACTGTAGAGGTCTGTATATTGCATAAAATATTTGTGGAAGTTATAGCCTATTTAAGACCTCAGTACTCTTAATCTTTGTTGTTGTTGTTGTTATATGCCGTCGAGTCGGACCCGACTCATAGTGACCCCTCCTTGGGTTTCCGAGACAGTATCACTACGGAAGTAGATTGCCCCATCTTCCTTCCGAGGAGTGGCTGGTGGGTTTGAACCACCAGCCTTCTGGTTAGCAGTCAAGTGCCTTAGCCACTACACTACCAGAGCTCCTTTAATTGAGGTTAAAAATAAAATAACAATTGTTTCCTGAGACTGTATATTCGTGAAACGAATATTCCATGGTTCAACTGTATTCTGAATAGTGAGTGAATGTTGAATGGTATTAACATGAGAAAGGAAAACATAAAATGAGAAAATAGCTCTGTTGGCATAGTGCCTAAAGCACTTGACTGCTAACCAGGAGGTTGGCGGTTCAAACCCACCAGCCACTCCTTGGAAGGAAGACTGGGCAGTCTACTCCCATAGAGATACCGCCTCGGAAACCCAAGGAGGGGTCGCTATGAGTCTGATCCGACTCGACAACACATAACAACAACAACAACTAACTCTTTTCTTACCCTTACAGTTTTATAACCAGAAGTTTAAGGCTATTTGTTCCTTCTCATACTCAGCTTATTAGGGAATGTCCTTGTTAATTTTAATGATTATTTGCATTTTTAACAGTAATTTTTAGGATAGTAATGCTATTTATAATGTCTTCTGCTTCTTAAAAGTATTTTTAAATTTAAAATACACAGCTAGTAAACTTGGAAATTTGTTTTTATATTATCTGAAATTTACATTGTAGTCTAGTCTTCAAAGTTCTCTATAGTAAAATAAAGCATGTTCTAATATTCTGCGTGTTGTAGTTATACAAGCTGAAGAGTAGGTATGAAAAAGCAGACAAACTAACCAGTTGACATTGAATCAGTTCCAACTCATGGAAACCCTGTATGTTGGAAAGTAGAACTGTTCCATAGGCTATGACCTTTCAGAAGCAGATACCTAGGCCTTTCTTCTGAAGTGCCTCTGTGTAGATTCAAACTGTCAACCTTTTGGTTAGTGGTTGAAAGCTTAGCCATTGCACTACCCGGGGACTCCTGGGCATATATATAAACACAGATGAATATGATGTGTATATTTTATTGACTTTTATAATATCCATGTGTTTGAAAGATACAGTCTTTGAAAGGAAATAACTGAATACAAAACCCTTTTTAAAAACCTGGACTAGTGAATAACATTACAAAAGAGAATAAACCTGACGATATTGGTGTCTCTAGTACCATGTTGTTGTTGTTGTTATGTGCCGTGGAATTGGACCCAACTCATAGCGATCCCTCCTTGGGTTTCTGAGGCAGTATCATTATGGAAGTAGATTGCTGAACCTTCCTTCCAAGGAGTAGCTGCTGGGTTTGAACCACCAGCCTTCCAGTTAGCAGTCAAGTACCCCAGACACTACGCTACTAGAGCTGATCTTATAGATTTGCAAAGTCCTATGTAATTTATTTAGTCCTATGTAATTATTTAGAAGGCTGGCGGTTCAAACCCACCAGCCACTCCCCGGAAGGAAGATGGGGCAATCTACTTCCGTAGTGATACTGCCTCGGAAACCCAAGGAGGGGTCGCTGTGGGTCAAGTCTGACTCTATGGCACATAACAACAACAACAATGTAATTTATAGGAGGTCTAGTGGCATAGTGCCTAAGGCATTTCACTGCTAACCAGAAGGCCTATGTTATGTAAGAGATACTCTTGTATTTTTCTATGTTCAGAAATATTTTTCTTCTCTTAACTTTAGAGCATGTGAATATGAATTGTTTGGTTTTATTTATAAACAAAATGATTTCCTATAGTGTATTTATAATTCTATTGCATAACATTTTAAAGCAATATTCAAACTTAAACAGAAACCACCATTTTCCTCACTCCTTCCTAGCTCATATTCATATTGAGCATACCTTTTATAGTTATATAAACTAAATTTTGTGTTTTATTTTTTTAAGCGTACAGTTATTTAGCTCTCAACAATGAACATTTCTAAGTTATAATATCTAGTTGATATAATCTCATATATAAAACATTTCTCGATTATTAAATATTTACACTGAGGGAGGACCCCTCAATGAGATGGATTGACACGGTGCCCACCAACAATGGGCTCAAATACAGCAGCTCTTGAGAGGATGGCGGAGGACCAGGCAGTGTTTAATTCTGTTGTACATAGGGTTGCTGTGAGTCAGAACGGCACCTAAGAACAACAACACAGTTTTTGGTATATATATAAATAATGATATAATGAATAACCACTTTTGGGGGGAGCAGGGGTGGGTAACAGATGACTAAAATTGTCTTCTGAAAAATCCCGGTTATCGTTACACATAGGTAATGATGCCTAGCAAATTGGTTCAACTTTGGTAGAACTTTTTATTACATTTATAAATTTGACCTACTGAAACAGCTTACCAGTGTCATATTAGAATATGTACTATACTCATCAAAAAAAAGAAAAAAAAAACCTTATAATTTCCAATACTGTTGAAAAATTACAACTATTTCTTTTAAAATTATTTTCTTGAAAAGCAAGTTTAAAAAATGACTTCCTGCTACTTCTAGAAATTCATTCATTGCACTTTGAAAAGTACACAAAAACATACTTCCAATGGAGAAATAGACTCTATGAACTAAAGAAATTTTTAACTTAAATGTTATAACTGTTTTATGTTCAGTGTCACATCTATAATAATTCTTGGCACATAGTGGACTTCTAATGCATATTTGTTGAATAAATGAAAGTTATTTATTACAGTATTTTTTATATATTTAAAAACCGTAAACACCTTAAATATTGATCAGTAAGGGAGTGATCACTTAAAAGTACAGAGTAACCATACAGTGGAATACTAAAAAAAAAAAAATTGTTAAAAAAAAACTCTCACCCTTATGTAGCAGTTCTTGGTGTCATGATCCTTTTACACATCTAAAATTACTAAAGACCCAAAATGACTTTTGTTCATGAGATAGATAGATAGATAGATATTTACTATCTTGTAAACTAAAATTGAAGAAAAATTTTAAATTTTTCATTAATTATAACAATGAACCTATTACATGTTAAGATAAATAATGTATTTTTATGAAGAAGCCTATGAAACATATATAATGAGAAGAGTGGCATTGTTTGGCATTTTTGCAAATCTCTTTAATGTCTAGTTTAATAGAAGACAACTAGATTCTTGTGTATCTTTTCTGTTTTGAAGTACATGATGAAAATCCAGCCTTACACAGATAACGTAGTCAAAACAAGGAACATGATTTTAATGACCTTTTCAGATAATCATAGATATTCTTCTTTGATACTAGACTAAGATTCTACAGGTAGTTCTCAAAGGTTAGTTGCAATGTGGAATCTGAAACCGTATCAGTGAACTTTTTGTACTGTGTTGCATAAAATCCTAGTCTTACACCTTTGAATGGACCTTTTACCCATGCAAGATTATAAAATGTCATGCATTGGTCATTTGAAAAATACTGGTTTACTGACTATGCAGATCTTCCAAATACTGATACAGTTCATTATGTCATTAAAAAGTTACATTAATTTATTCCAAGACTTTCATTTGATCAGTATAGGCATACCTAATTTTACTGCGTGTCACTTTATTGACTTTGCAAATATTGCTCTCTTTTTTGTTGTTGTTGAAAAGACAAATTGAAGCTGTGGCATCCCTGCTTTGAGCAAGTCTATTGGTGCCGTTTTTCCACCAGCATGTGCAAACTTCATGTCTCTGTGTTCCGGATAGTTCTCACAATATTTCAAATTTTTGTAATGTTGTTGCACACTTAGTATGGACTACAGTATAGTATAAACACAACTTTTATATGCATTGGGAAATTAAAAAATTCATGTGACTCATGTGACCAAACCTACAATATCTCTGAGATGTACTTGTATGGTATATATCTTAGCATGACACTGGTAAACTTAACTGCTGTCGAGTCAAACCCAATTCATAGCTACACCTCCTTGGGTTTCCGAGGTGGTATCACTACGGAAGTAGATTGCCCAATCTTCCTTCTGAGGCGTGGCTGGTGGGTTTGAACTGCCAGCCTTCAAGTGCCTTAGGCACTATGCCACCAGAGCTCCTATGACACTGGTAAGTTATTTTAATATATCACCATCAGTCTCATTGGAAAAACTCTTCAAGTGTCGAGAAACTGGCAAGCTCACAGTGATGAATGAGTTTTTCAGAAGGAAGGGTTGCTATGAGTTGTATGGCAGTGAGTTTGGTTTTTGTTTTGTTTTTTAGTTTTATTTTCACCTGAAAGTTTCAAAATTTTATCATTACTAACACTGTCAGTTTTTTCAGTTTTCTTTTCTTAAGATGACAAGCTGACTTCATTCACTTGTCAAGAAAATGTCTGTAAAACATCCTAGTCTGACAAGCTGGAATTTATCTCATCTAACAATAATATCCTATTGAAAAAAGTGGCTAATTCACTCTTTTCACAATGAAATTTTAAAAACTATTGAAAAAAAAAAAAAAGAAACTACAGTGTAAATATTTTTTTTAAAAAAAGAGAAGATAAAAAATATGGTGGTGAGAAAATGGTGACTTTTTTCCTTTTTCTCCTTTGTATTTTTCTGTAATGAATAATTCATTCTTAGTATATTATATAATTAAAATATCTTCTGTGAAGAAAATGTATGTTGTTTATAGGACATCTTACGTGTCCTATACATTTCTATACATAATATTAAACTCTGGTTTATAGATTTTCTAAAAAATCTAGATTATTAAGAATAGGTATTTTCTCTGTTTTTGTGGTTAGGAATTAGGTCCTGAATATGAAGAAATATTTAACACCTCATTGCAGTGGATTCTAGAAAATGGAAAAGATGTTGGTATAAGGTAAAAGATTTGTTTTCTTCTTTGACTATTTTGTACTTATAAGAAGTGTATTTGATTTTAAGCTGTCCCTTAATTATTTTTAATAGGTGTGTTGGTTATGACCCTGATGAAGAATTGACCAATATAACTGATGTGGAGTTTTTACAGTCCACAAGACCACAGATGTCTTTCTGGTGTCGTTTTCGACGTGCTTTTATTACTGTAACGCACAGGTTATTGTTGTTATGCTTAGGTAAGTTATTAGGAGTAAAACCATGATTCAGATGTTCATGAGAAAGAAGATAGGTTGCATTATAGAATTTTTGTATGTCTGTATTTCGCTAAATGTCAGGATTGAGAATTCATTTCTATGATAGTCGCCATGCAAATCATGTCCAAAAATCTTCATTAAGATACAAAATGTTGGGTGTTTTCATAATGTCACTATCAGTCTAAGGGCTTAGAAAATAGTACCATAAGGGGAGGTGGGACTAAAACTGTTTATCACAAGAATGCCACAGACAGAGCAAGTATAGTACATACACAGAAACCTCCTCCAGAAAACAGAACTGGAAAGCATAAAAATTAAGTTTATTATTTAAATAATAAAATATTATAAGGAGCTCTGATGGCATAGTGCCTAAGGCATTTGACTGCTAACCAGAAGGTTGGCAGTTTGAACCCACCAGCCACTCCTCAGAAGGAAGACTGGGCAGTCTACTTCAGTAAATATTTCTTGGAAACCCAAAGGGGGTCACTATGAGTCAGTTTATTATTTAAATAATAAAATATTAAAAGTTTATTAATATTATTTTTAATTTTGAAAATATTATTTACCTGACTTAAAGTTTTCATCCTGATTTTGATTAATAATAGGAATTAGGAGACATTCTTTCTTTTTCTTTTCTCCAAGTCCTTTAAAAGTAATTCAGTTTTCTTAAAGTACAATTTAGTATTTTTTCATTCTTTTAAGACTAACTTTTAGTACTACAAAGTTTAATGCTGCAAGGGAAGAAGCTTGTGAAATACGGCTATATTCCTGTGTTTTCAAAAAATAGTAGTTAGACTTTAAATGTTCAGTTGTCAGTATAATGGAAGAAATATGTTTTCTAGAGAGATTAAGTGAAACTGCAAACTGTATGATATTAAACTTTTCTATGTAGGTTTGTTTATATATATAATTCAGTTAGTCTTAAAGATTGATTCTGTATTCTGTTATAGCAGTTAAAATAATCATAGAAAATGGCATAAGTTTCTTCTGCTTGTTTTTGTTGTTTTATTTTGCTTTAGTTTTTTTAATACTAGATTTATCAACTGGCTACCCCATACTTTCAAGTTGCAATATTATTGAATGTTATTGACAACAATTTTTATAATGCAGAATATGTAAATATTACAGGTGTAGTAATGGTGTGTGTGGTTCTGCGCTACATGAAATATCGCTGGACAAAAGAGGAAGAGGAAACAAGGCAGATGTATGATATGGTGGTAAAGATAATAGGTATGGTATTTGTAAAAATCTAAACAATTTCTGAAGTAGTGATTAAGTGATAAATTACAACATGATGACAAGTGATTGATTTGTTTGTTTATTTGATTTTCAGATGTTTTACGAAGTCACAATGAAGCTTGCCAGGAAAATAAAGATTTACAACCCTACATGCCTATTCCACATGTGCGAGATTCTTTAATACAGCCTCATGATAGGTGTGTTAAAAGCTCTATAAGTTAACGCAAATCAAAATGTTGGTGTCTTCTGCTGTCTTGAAAGTTATATACAGAATGTGGTGATCCTTCTCAGTTAGACTCATTGTGTTCAGTATTTTTGGGGGACTTCCAACCTTTCTTTCTAATTTTCTTCTATTACATCCTGCTTTTGAGTGATAATAACAGATAAGTGAATTTCTAAATCATTCATATTCCTATACATTCTTGATTCTTGCCAGTCTCTATTTCTTTTAACTTCATTGATAAATAAATAGAGGCAAATATTACAGCTAGTGTATTTTACTAATGATATGCTTCAAAATATTATTCAAGAAGCATTTTTTTAGAAAAGAACTAAATGATAAGTTTTTTAAAATAAAAGGTGATGCCATACCTTAGAGCAGCATTCCTAACACTAGCAACACATTAAAATCAGCAATGGAGTTTTTTGGGAAAAATAATGCTCATGCTCCACCTGTGGAGAGAGAAATTTAGTAAATCTGAGGTGAGGCTTAGGCATGTAAATCTTATTTTGAAAATCTCCATAAGTAGTGATAAGAACAGCCAGAATTAATAATAGCCACTACCTTCATTTATTGATATTTGAAAAGAGACAGCCAACGTGATAGTATATTTACCATTTTATAGGAAAAAAATGAAGAAAGTCTGGGATAGAGCTGTTGACTTCCTTGCTGCTAATGAGTCTAGAGTTCGCACAGAAACACGAAGAATAGGTGGTGCAGATTTTCTGGTTTGGAGGTGGATCCAGCCTTCTGCGTCCTGTGACAAAATATTAGTAATACCTTCTAAAGTATGGCAAGGTCAAGGTATGTATTTTTTAAAATGTATGTATTTATAAGGTGAATCTTTTCTGTTTTTTAAAAACTATGAAGGTCATACTTGTTTGTTTTATGTGAAATAGTATATAATTCAAACGTGTGAAAGCAAGCTCTTTTCCATCCCTCAGAGGAAATATGTTAGCTTCTTATGTATTCTTCTGCACTTTTCTCCTTGATAATCCAAACATAAATTATTGCTCTTTAATTTAATAAACTACTATAAGTATTACTTTTTTTTATTTAACAAAGCAACTCAGTATTATAGATCTAACTGTACTTTTTCCTTAATTTCCTTATGTATTTGACATAAAATTCTTATATATATGGAATCGAAATTTTTCAGTGTTCTTTTCTCCCAACAAGTTTTACTCACCTCCTTCCTCTTTCTTAAAACAGCCTTTTCAACTGCATATCCCTTTTGCCAATTAGCTTTTGTGGGTTTTTACGTATGTTTTTAAGCTTATAGTTACACAGTGTATATGTAAATGAATAGGTGCTTTTGGTGATAAGTTGCCTTAGAAAAATTAGATCATACTATACATATTTCTCTGCATCTTTGTTTTCACCTTAAAAATATCTCTGGGAAATCCTTGCAAGTTGATTCATAATTCATTATTTTTCATTACCATTAAAGGCTTTTATTCCATGGTATGGAATAAACCTTAGTCTAATCACACATTCATTGGTTGGTAAACATTCATTTTGTTTACATTTTTTTCTAAGCATAAATAATAAGCTCTTTAAACATATAGTCATAAATATTTATACTTTAATTTCTATAGTATTGATTCCTTAGAGTAGGATTGCTGGGTTGAGGGAGCTCTGAATATCCTTTAATTACAATAGGTGTTGCTAGATTCCTTTCCAAAATTCTGGAGAAATTTGTATTTCCACCAGCTATTTCATTTTGTATCCCACATCTACATCTATTAAGGTTAATGATTATCCCACTTGATTTTTTTTACATTGTAATGGTTGGTTGCAAAGTGAAATCTCATGCTTAATTTGCATTGCCAGGGTAGGAGTGAGTTGACCCTCTTTTTATCTGTTTGTTGGATTTGTTTTCTGTAATGTATCTAATTCCTATCCTTGGTCCATCTTTCTGGTGGGCTGTATTTTTTTCTTAGTAATTTGCCTTGTTGTTGTTGTTGATATGTGACATGGAATTGGACCCAACTCATGGTGACCCCTCCTTGGGTTTCCGAGGCAGTATCACTACGGAAGTTGATTGTCCAATCAATCTTCTTTCTGAGGAGTGGCTGGTGGGTTTGAACCTCCAGCCTGCTGGTTAGCAGTCAGGTGCCTTAGGCACTATGCTACCAGAGCTCCCAGTAATTTGCCTTACAAAATAGAAAATAGAATTCAAAGCCAGTCAAATTTGATTACCTAATAGGTGTGGAATTTCAGCGTAATTTCTTCATAAAATTAGCAGTTCATGCTAATGTATGAATTTGAAGCTCAAGAAAGACCATTTTTTTTCTTTTTCTTTTTTTTTTACTGTTATTTTTTAAATTTGAGGGTTTTCAGAATTAAAGACAATTTCTTAACCTAGGTAATCCACGTTGTACTTAAAAGTTAGTAGTGGTGTAATTTAAGTCTGTGAAATTGGATACTCTGTAAACTCTAGTAATTAACTATTTCAGAATATTTTTATCATTTTTAAGAGATACAGGAAAAGGCTGTGGAAGTATGATAAAATATGTCAGGTAGGTTATAGTAGTGGTAGTACTTGGCGTAATTATTTTTTAATGACTTGCTGTTTTGGTTTAAAATGTCCCTTCTAGTTAAGTGCATGGGTTTTGGAGTCAGACAACCTGGATGTTCTGGTCCTGATTCTGAAACTTACTAATAAATCTATGGCTGCAGGGAAAGTATCTTAACAGCTTTGAGCCTTAGTTTCCTCAATTGTAAAAGAGGAATAAAAGTAGATTTTTATGAGCTTTGAAAGAAATAATGCATTTAAAGCATATATAATATAACAGGCTTCTGTTCTAAGTACTCAATAAATTTGAACTAATGTTATAATTATACTTAATAAATATTAGCTCTCATTCTTGCTACTTTCATAGTAGGTTTCATCAAGATTCCAGTGTATTTATTTTAAAAAATTCAAAAACTATGTGCTAGGTGTACTAGCTTATCTTAAAGAAGCACTGTTGGCACAATGTTTGAAAGTGCTCAGTTGCTAACTGAAAGGTTGCTCGTTCAAACTCACCAGCCACTGAGCAAGAGAAAGATATGACAGCTTGCTTTCATAAAGATTTACAGCCTTGGAAATTCTGTGTGGGCAGTTGCACTCTGTCCTGTAGGGTCACTATGAATTGGAATTGACTGGTCAACAATGTGTATTTTATGGAAACTATCTTAACTTAAATATTTCTAAATGGGCCACATAATGAAGTGTAAATCTCCCTCTCTTTATCTTTGGTAACCAGTTACAGTGACTAAGGGCTTCTGAACCTAAAAAGTAATTGAGAGCAAGATGAGATACCTGTTACTCAGCAAATAGAAAAAAGTTTAACAGCTGAGATAATTTTACCCTGAAGCCAGAAAACTCTGAGGTACATACAACCTAGTAGCTTTTTGCTTGAAGTATTCCGATTATATATTTGCATGATTGTGAAGATAAAAATCAGTAGTGTTGCAAGAGATTTGAGAATTTTAAGAATTTCATCAAAATAGCAGTTGCTACAGGACGCTAATAAAGAGAAGCTATGGGATATTCTTTAATGATAGTTATACTTCATTGCTTTGTGTTGTTGTTGTTATTTGCCGTCGAGTCGGACCCGACTCATAGCATCCCCTCCTTGGGTTTCCAAGGCAGTATCACTACGGAAGTAGATTGCCCAACTTTCCTTCCGAGGAGTGGCTGGTGAGTTTGAACCACCAGTCTTTTGGTTAGCAGTCAAGTGCCTTAGGCACTATGCTACCAGAGCTTTATTTAAGTATATCTATATATCACATGTATATATATATATATATTTAATTAATATCACATGCAAGTAAAATTTTGCCAAAGATAATTTAAAATGGTTGCTTCAGAATATTGACAGGGAATTGCCAGAAACTCATGCTGGATTCAGAAGAGGACATGGATAAAAGGATACCTTTGCAGATGTCAGGTGGATATTGGCTGAAAGCGAGAATATCAGCAACATGTTTACTTGTGTTTTATTGACTCTGCAAAGGCATTTGACTGTGTGGATTATAACAAATTATGGATAACACTATGAAGAATGAGAATTCCAGAACACTTACTTGTGCTCATACAGACTCTGTACATGGACCAAGAGCCAGAGTCATTTGAATAGAACACGGGAGTACCGTGTGGTTTAAAATCAGGAAAAGTGTGCATCAGAATTGTATCCTTTTACCATATTTATTCAGTCTGTAAGCTAAGCATAAAATTTGAGAAGCTGGACTGGCTATTTGAAGAATGTGGCATCAGGATCAGAGGAAGATGTGTAAGCAAACTATAGTATGCAAATGATGCAACCTTGCTCCTTGGAAGGGAGAGGACTTGAAGCCCTTACTGATAAAGATCAAAGACTATCACAGGGTACCAGAGGGGCAACATTCGCATGGAGGAAATGCAAGACAAACAGTGTATAACTATGAGGGAGATGGCATTGGTGGAAGGGGGTGGGGGTTACTGGGCAGGAAGAGGAGGAGACTGGGTTAGGGTTGGGGATGGTAAATGGGGAGTGAAACTAAATGTACATGAAATGCTGAATGTAAAACAAACTTGCACCTAAAGCACAACAAAAAATTGTAAAAAAAAGATCAAAGACTGTAGCCTTCAGTATGGATTACACCTCAATATCAAGAAAGCAAAAATCCATAGAAGTGGACCAATAAACAACATCGTGATAGAGAAAAGATTGAAGTTGTCCAGAATTTCATTTTACTTGGATCCACACAGTCAACACCCATGGAAGCAGCAGTGAAGAAATCAGATGACTTAATGCATTGGGCAAATCTGCTGCAAAAGACCTCTTCAAAGTGTTAAAAAGCAAAGATGTCACTTTGAGGACTAAGAAGCACTAACCTAACCCATGGTATTTGCAGTCACCTTAAATGCATATGGAAGCTGGACAATGAATAAGGAAGACTGAAGAATTGATTCCTTTGTTTATGGTGTTGATTAAATATATTTATGTACTATGGACTGCCAGAAAATGAGCAAGTCTGTCATGGAACAAGTACAGCTAGATGCTTCTTAGAAGCAAGTCTGGCCAGAATTTGTCTTCTACTTTGGTCATGTTCTCAGAAGGGACTAGTCCCTGGCGAAGAACATCATGCTTGGTAAAGTAGATGGTCAGTGAAAAAGAGGTAGACTCAACTAGATGGATTGCACCAGTGGGCTCATACATAACAACAATTATAAGGATGGCTCAGGAACTGGCAGCATTTCATTCTACTGTACATAGGGTGGCTATGAGTTGGAACTGACTTGACAGCATCTAACATATAGAGAGAATTTAGTTTTGATAACTCTTTTTTGTTGTTGTTGTTGCGCAAAACTTACTGTTTATTGAGCACTTTTGCATACATTAACGTCTTTAACCCTCATAACATTCCACGGGTGGGTTTTTATTTATTGTGATTTCGGTGAAAATTTAAAGAGCATATACACTTTCCATACAGCAGTTCACATACACTTTGTCTCAAGACATTGACCACAATTTTCCACAATGCAACATCTCCCCTCCTACTTCCTCCTGATAGTTACCTCTTCCCTGTGTCCATCCCTCCATGCATTCCTGCCCCCTGAGCTGTCTCCCTGTGCATAAGCAGCCCTTCTTTCCTCCATGCTTGTTCTCTCCAAGGAGTGTTTCTATCTCAGGTAAATGTTCAACTCATATGGCTGTCTATTGTTTGGTTGGAAGCCACAGGTGTGGGTTCAATTCCAGACCTGAAGGGCAGTTAGGGGCCATAGTCTCAGCGGTTCCACCAGGCTCTCTCAGACCAGCAAACCTGGTCCTCCC